CTGCATGAATACCAGCCAGAAAAAACGTCACCAACCTCATTGGTGACAAAGTAAAAATAAGCCCCACCCCCAGGGACTCCAACACTTACACATAGTCTTGAACATGGTCCCTTTTTCCAAAGCAAAGATATTAGTTTTGACACAGATGGAGGGAGCTTTGGCTTCGTTCCCCCTTGGATATAGATTTGACTGATTATCTTTCAGTGCATCAGTTGGCGTTCCTCAAGGAGATATAATTCCAGAGTTGAAGCCCAATAGTATGATACATCTTACATGCTTAACTCTGAGCTGGATCTTCAGCGAGCACACGTCTCAATTTTTGCCGAGAGCATCAAATAGGATCGCAAGGACACCATGAGGAAAACAGAGCAGCGATGAAAAAGGAAAGAGGAAGCAGCCGAGTGGCTTTGTGAGAATGTTGCGGAACGTCCATCACAGTCTGTGCAGACTAGTTCCATTCTTCCTTTTTATGAAAACATGAGGTTTGCAAATGTAAAGATTGGGAATGACAGTAAGTATTTCTCAAGATCTCATGGGTGATACCGGAGCTCGTAATGACTGACGTGAAGGACACACATCTCCATCTCATATCCCCCCTTCCCACACACACACACACACACACACTAGAAGGGAGCCCGTTACGACGGCGGGAAGCAACCATCCCACCACTGGAACTGCCTCTTATTCAGAAATACAAAACATTTTGATTCCCTCTCTAGTTTTTTTTGTATGTTTGATTTTTTTTTCATTTCAAAGTCAGACCAACGTCAAGCAGAAGGACGAAGACCACATCTATGAAGGACAACCAAACATTTGTAAAACTGTGGTCTACTGTAGTGATAGGAAATGCAGGCAGAACGGAAAGAACCTATAAAGAGGGCTTGTGATTTACTTACAAAAGCCACAATCCTTTGATTCCATCGCTGCAGTGCCAGTTGCAACACAAAACAAAGATGGAAAGGGATCTGGACCCCGTTGAACCTTCCAAGATGAAATTATCTCTACATGTTTGAGATTTATGAATTTGTTCTTGGTTCTGAAAGCAATTAGGGGAAATTAAACCGTTTCCCCCGTGAACTCTGGTAATCAGCTTAAGTGATTACATCGGTTGTAAATATGAGATGATGAAAGCTCAGTGTCAGGAGCATTTAGTGCCCAGAGGAGAGGCCAAAGAGGAGTTCACAGGGTAGATAGATACGATGGATCCTCGGGTGCAGGACGGGGTGTACACGGGGATTGGGTGCCCTCTAGCTGTCACTGTTGAGACTGGGACATGAAAAATGAGCCTAAATCACTGCTGAGGGGCTTTTTATGAAGTGGCATCAATTAGTTTGAGACCTTTGACCCAAGGCTTGATCTATATCAGTGATGCTTTAAATAAATGTAAAGAAATCTGTCTCTGCTGGAAATATTGTGTTAACATATTTGGAGTAGGCAGAACAATTTTTAATACGAAGTCGATGCAGGAGGAAGAATAAACCTGAACTGACCAGAGAGTCAACATCTAATAATATGGGTAAATAACAATAAAGAGATTAAAAAATACATCTTTCTTTACAAATAATTATCTAAGTGAATAAACTCTGACTATGAATAAAGTTTCAAACTCTGTGTGATAAAATGAGACATGAATCAGGAGACGGGTTGAACCCTGGACTCATCACTCACACTATACCCTACATATAACCCACATCAGTGTTTTTGCATGTCATTGACTATCTGAATGCAGCAGATCCCCTGTTATATATATATATATATATATATATATATATATATATATATTTATATATACAGTATATATATATTTTTTTCATTTGCTGTTTATTTAACCAGGAGGAAAATCCCATTGAGAATAAAACTTTCTTTTTCAAGGGAGACCTGGTCAAGATGAGCAGCAAAAAGCATCACAGAGTTAAAACATGTAAAAACAACCATTAATACAGCTAAAAGTTAGAAGCTTCTAAATGAAGCAGTTACATGTCGTGGAGTTTTAGGTGTCACATAGCAGGAAGGCCCAAATACTCATCTGGATCTGGATTTACACACGTTACACCTATTTGACAACTGTTCAAGAAAACAGCTGGTTTCAGATTCATGAGTGCAAATAATTAAAAGTGAGTCTTGTTACATTATACCAGTTCAAACGTGGCTCCTTTAACATTTGTAACTTTTTTTATATTCAGTTTGACCATTTAAAGTCTGAAATCTGTTAATAATGTTTTAAATTGAGCTATGTACACCAATATAACAACTATAGTGAAATAATTCCATCAGAGGACAGAAGATGTGTGTGTGTGTGTGTGTGTGTGTGTGTGTGTGTGTGTGTGTTTGTGTGTGTGTTTGATGCAGAAACCCTGTGAAGAAAGTACTAATCCTGATACATTTAGCTGGTTTAAGACAAAAACAAAAGATTAAAGCAAACCTGACAAAAGTCTACAAGTGGTTCAATGTGGTTTCAAGTCACATTTTTCTAATCATTTCAGACAGAAGAAGGAATGAGCCGCTTTTAGGTGCACATTTCAAATCAGGAGTGTTCTCCATGAGGAGATAGTGGTGAAGGTTTTGCCATCCTCTGGTTAAACCTTCTGGACACCTATTATAGCACAAGTTCACCTTTACGGATCCATTTTTATGTCATTTTATAGTAAAAGACGAGCAGAAAGCTCCTGCTCAACAAAAACACGTCTAATAGTTTTTTAACGATTAGAATTAAACATGGCGACTCGTTTGCTTACCACAGCTTCAGCTAATAGCAGCACACAAATTAGTTTGAAAGGCTTTTTCTTAAACATCCTCCAGCCCGTCCAGGATAACTTCACCCTCACATGTTTAATTTTTAAACGACTGCTGTAAATGCCGGTTTTATCACTTTAAATGGCCGACATGCGTCAAAGAAACAGCCCACGAGTGCTTTGCCCGCTACAGAGGGCGTTTTAATGCGTACTTTATTGCCATCAAATATAATTCCTGTTGAGCCGAATGCACTCAAAGCGATGTTTATCGTGCACCTAGCAACACTGTTCTGAATGAAAATTACATCTTTACTGAGCTATTAGGAAAACCAACCTACAGGCCAAATGCCTTCCAGGGGAATGCCTTCATTTGCTTTAATAAACAGTAATGTACAGTAATTCATGCTGGAGAATCTAAAGTGGAATCAGCAGGGCGAGTTAATAAAGTCCTCCTGCAACGAAAAAGACGTGAGAGTTTGATGGAAGAGATGTGAAAGATGTTTGTCAAACGGTTTTGACCACAAACGTTATGTTTTTGCCCCGGTTCAGATTGGTAACTCACAAAGAACAAGATTAGATTAATTACAGGAAATAGCTCGGAGACCCAATTAGCAAAGTAATATCGGACTTTCGCATGTGTGTCTGCTCGAAGGGTGAATATTTTCAAATCCACCTCACAGGGCAGTCCTCAGAATGGGACACGTCTTCTAGAGGTGGATCAGGGGCCATATGAGAAGGCAATTAGACATAAGGCCACATTTCTCACACCGTTACTTATTCTGTGTGAAGCAAAACCTCCAGCTTGAACAAGTGTTGTGATGAAAGCCCAAAATGTTGTTTTCAGCACTTTCCTGTGTTTCCCCTTCAGCGAACCATGGCGTGGTTGTTTCTTTGTGCTCCAGATCAGAACCAAGATAGCGTCTCATCATCCAAGCCTTACTCCACTTTTCCCCCCCATTAGATTTTCTTTTCCCTCAAATTCCCTCACCCTCACCCCTCTCGCTCACATTCATCTCACACACACACACCTCGTTATCTTATTTGTGGCCTTGGCAGCCAGATCATTGCCTTGTGGTTTGGTAGCCGAAGTTTTCGCTGTCGCAGAGAGCCATGGATGCTGAGCCTCCACCGCACAAGCTTCCATGGGGGCAGGAAGTCACCTCCCAGCATGCTGTGCCCATTCCAGGGAAAACCTGGGATGGATTAACCTTGGGCAGGGGGCCCTTCCGACTTAAAGAGAAAGTTATGCAACACCCCACACTTTTCTTTCCTTTCTTTTCCCGTGTCAGGGAAATTTGGGGGCTGAACAGACATTTCTTTAAAGTAACGTTTATTTGTGAGCGTTGCCGCCAAAACACAAAACTTGTTTTAGTTGTTTTCCTGCTCCAACATACCCAAACCGAGAATACAAGCAGTCGGACTCAGTCTTAGAGAAGAGGGTGAGGATCTTAGATGTCAGGGTGAGACTCGGAGTAGAATCATTCCACATCAAGAGGACCAAGCTGAGGTGGTTCATTTGGTCCGATTGACGCCTGGACGCCCCCTAGGGGAGGCGTTTTGATCTCTTCCTACTGGTAAGAGGCCCCCAGGTCGACCCAGGACATGCTGGAGGGATTATATCTCCACTCTGGTTAGGGAACACTTTGGGGTCCTGCTAGTGGAGCTGGTGGAGGTCTCTGGGTAGAGGGCAGCGTGGGTCTCTCTGCTGGGACTGCCACCCCTGTGACCCAAACCCAGATAACCCGGAACAGCATACCGGATTCAGCTGTTAAATGACCTGTTCAGCTTATCGTCAGGTTCTGCAGGAGCTAGTTCCTCACACTGATTCAAATCATGTGTCTAAGCAGCAAAACAATTAGAACATGAAGGATAGTGACACCTAAGGACCAGTATTTATCACCACTGCCAAGCTTCTGCGATTAAGCACCAGTTTCAGAATGCAAGTTGAAACCGTCTTTCACTGAAAAGTAGGAAAGCTGATCATTTATAACTTCATCACAAGTGGCGACATGATTATAGAGGAAAATCAGTCGAGTCCAGGTTCTTTGGACAGAAGTGAAACAGGTTAAAGCTGTGGGAAGAATGCATGTAGGGATGAGAGCAACAGTTCCTGGAAAGTAACTTACTAATGAAAACTTCAGGGTTCTGATTCCATAGCTGAGTAACAAAACAGACCGTGTTACATAGAAGAGCAGAACAACTTCGACACAGGAACTATATGACTCACACAGCTATGATTTGTAATGTAATCTTTCTCTTTTCATTCAGGTGGTTCAGGGAAGCATCGATCCAAAGAGCCAAAGAAGAAGAACAAGGAGAGGCTGCGGTTACGGGCCCAGAACCAGCACAGCGACCACTTGGCCTCTGCACGCTCCAGCCAGTAATGACTCAAACTACCCAGTGAAGAAAAAATAAACAACAAATGCAAAGCTGCTAGCTGCTGCTGCACCAATAATCTGACTGATGACTGTCACAAACCCCACTACCATCACCATCACCCCTCCTGCCTCCCTGGCCTCCCCCACCATCCTTCTCTCTGCTCACCGGGACACAGCCAGGCCTCATTTATCCGTCCCTCGATGAAATATGTGCCGCATTCAGCGAGATACCAACACCTGCCTCCCACAGCTTCCACAGCCAGGTGACTCTGCTCCCCCAAGTCCAGCCCTTCGCCTCATGGACCTTTACAGTTAACTGAACTCATTTTTCCGTCATTAACACCATTAACCATACAGGGTGATAGAAGACAGAGGGGCATTCAGAGGTAACGCGGAGGCGGGAGAGTCAGGACCAAGACAGAAGAAAGGTGAGGAAGTCTGGGAAGCTGAACAACCCAGGAAAGGGTGAGAACATGCTCAAGGATAAGGAAGTAGAGAAGGCTCAGATGAAGCAAAACAGTGCCGATGGACAAGAAAATGGCAACTTAAACTAAAGAGACTGTTTTTCTGTTTATATATTTATGTCACAGCTACCCTCACCTTCCCTCCAAGTGGAGACGGAGCGTTCCCATGTGTGGCCTTTATGTTCTGTACATTTTCAGAGTAATATTAAAGAGATTAACATGCATAGTTGCAAAGTATTTTATTCTCAGCACAAACTGTTTACGTTCAGACCGCTTAATGCTGTAACTGTATAGTGTCGATTTACGAGAAAAGAAGTTTAGTTGTTCAACTAGCATGAAAACAGACTTGTGTACATAGTTGATCTAATTATAAAAGCCTATTACTGTATTTTCAGTACTGAGTCGTTCACCGTTCTAAATGTTTTAGAAATCAAAATTATTGTTTTAATACAAGCTACGGATTAAAAAAAAACAATAATAAACTTAGCCACCTCATAGCTATTTCATTCATATGGTATATATTTGATTTATTTATTAAATCTGTTTTGTACTTTTTTGTTCAGTGACAATTTTTTGGCCTCATACTGTTATTGTTATGCTGAGATTTTCTCTGTCTTCCTTATAACAGTTTGTATCTGTACCATGCAGATAAAGGTTATGTCTGTCATACAATTGTTGTAGCCTGTTGCATTCATTTGACCTCATCTACTGATTTTGATGCTTTAAAGAGGAAAAAAAGATAATGAACTATGCTTTTGGTGCATTCTTGTTTTCTAATTAGGCTCCAGCAATTGTATGGTCATAGGACTGCATATGTGTGCATTGTGTTTTATTAAATCTGCATTTCATGTGACTGTATGATAACGCCTTCCTTTATTGTCTGTGGCTTGAATATATGTGGCTAAACTCTGAAACTGTTGCATCCTTGTCTCACTTCTCACTACAACTGTGTGATTTACAAAAAATGAAAGGAAATATTTGGGAAATCCATTATGTTGCACTATGACACATCCTCAGCTTCCAGCCAAAGGATCAGACACGCTCTATTGGCCCCAACAGCATGGCGATACTGTTAACGGTTTATAATTCACTGTGACGTATCCTGGTGGATGCTGCTACATCAGCGAGTGCCGTTTGTGGCTCGTCCATCATCGGCATCCAACTGTAATGCCTAACTTGTGCTTGGGTGTGGTATTTGTCTTTCATCAAAAAACACCTACTTGATCACCCGCTCACTGAAAGAACACTTCATCATTTTTATGAGATTCATAACATCAAATACAGGCTCTCCATATGCTAAATCTGAAGTAAGTGCTTAAATGCAAGTCATGACTAATTTCATCCACAATCCAAGCTGTGTGATCGTTATTCCAAAAGAGAAAAAATTAAAATGAAATCAGCCAGACAGTTTGTGGATGCACAGTAGCAGATGAATGACTGTGTCCCGTATTGGCCTCGGGGCGGGAGACCACAGTCTTTATGCTCTGGTTAAAGCCTGAAACGATATTTCCACCGAGTGGAAATATTCCCCCATGTCCACTTTGATGACTAATATGCAGAACTTAAAGTGCCTGAACATTTCTCACAGGTAATACGGCGTTTTATTTTTCTGGAGACTGTTTACTTGTAGAGTTAGACAGTAGGGAGCTGTTTGAACAGACACAGTTTGGCCATTTTTCACAAAAATGTCATGATTTTACAGGTATTTAAAAACTTAATAGTTTATGGTAGTACAAATGAAAATGTGAGTGAATGCAACTTTAAAGTGACAGTGTGTATTTTCCCTGACGATAGGGGGCAGTACATTCCTAAATTATTGCAAGTAAGCGGTATTTTTGTGTTTTAGTAAGACCTTAGCTATGGATGCCCATTAGGGTCAAAAATCCCTGGGAGCACAAAGTCCAGGAAAATGACAAGCTCATCAGACCCCCTTTCATCACTGGCAACGAGTGAAGAGATAAATGTGTAAAACAACGTTTGTGGATGGTGAACGTTTTGTATTGTTTTCTTACAAATCAGTAAATATGTTTTGTCCTCACGGGCTCCCGTAGAAGGCATCGCCCAGAGACGTAAACCCACTCCCATGTATTTTAGACACAGTTTAGCTTCCGATAGACGGTGAAACTCTAGGATTTGTAAAGCCTGACAGATCTACGTCACACTGTCACTTAACATTCATGGGCTCACCCATCTAGACTCATGATGGGGAAGGCTGTTGACCATTGTTGGTTTAGCATCCAGGAAACAGCTAGTAGAAGTTAAGCGTAAGCATCAGCAACTCCACCACAAAGCAGAACTCCTCAAAGCTTGTGTTATTTGTCGAGATAAAACATCAAAGTTGCAAATGGAGTCAATGGTAGAGCTGTGCTGCCATTAGCCAATCACAGGTGAGATGTCAACCAAGATGACAACCACACAGAGGGCTGTGTGGTTTTCAGAGACTGAAACATCTAATCTCAAAACTGTTCTTGCAAAAACATGTTTTGTTCTGCGTTGCATCAACTTTAGTTTTGCATCACACTGTTCTTAACTGAATTCTAGACGTCTTTGCAGCCCAAACTGCAGGAATATGAGAGAGTATTCCTGCTTCACTAACTACAGTTGTGTTCATCCTGGCCCTCAAGGGTCACCATCCTGCAAACTTTAGGTGCTTCTCTGCTTCAACAGTCTGAATTTTAATAGTTAAACTTGCTTTTGCAAGCTTGATGACATGTTGAGTCAGGTGTGTTGAAACAGTCTCTTTAGTGGACTCAATATATCTTAATTCAACATGCAATCTTTGAACTTCTGGTTTCACAGAGAAAGTTTATAGAATTAGTTTTATATGTGTGGAATTATCACTAGTTCAACCTATCCACAGTGCAGTCTTGGAGGGTTTAGAGGGTTTTTGTGATCCATTTGATTTGTGTCATGGGCTCCATGTTAATCCAGTAAAATATATGTGAGCTTTACTGTCCTTTTAACAGTTGCTCTCCCCTTTGCATGATTGGAAAACAGTTTCTGGGTAAAGAGGCTTAAAAAAACTCCCTTGAAATCTATGACTTTAGTGGTCTCCCATGGGACAAGGCATCAGCCTGCCTGTGTCAACGGTGTTTAAAGAGAACTGAAGCCATGGATGTTATTGTTTAGAATACACCAAAGCAAATTCCATGTGTTTTAGTGACATAAAAGTCCACTTCAAGAAGATTGTGTCAGTTACTGATTAAAACCGAAATACAGAAGTGTGAAAAAGGAAGATTCAGATGAATTCTACAGAAACTGGAGCTGAAGGCTGGTTCAAAAGAGGCAGAAAAAGCAGCCTTTAATTTTTCTCAATTTTGCAAAAGATTCCGATAAACGTAGAAAAGTCCAGCAGAATGATCAGATGAATTAAATATTTGACCAACATCATCAGTACCCTGATGGGGTCTTCTTCCAGAAGAGCATGTCAGAAAACCTTCTCTGTGTGGTGTCCAGGGATGTGCAGCTGCTATTTGTCATGATTGATATGTGGGTGAGGACCCAAATGAAGGTGAGATGGCCACAGAACAGGCAGGATGGCTGATAAACAGAACCTACTTTATTTACTGGGGCAGGAAGGAACAGACATGAGGACACACAATGAGGATCTGACAACTGACTTGAACAGAGAGCTTAGATATACAGGGGTAATCAGGAACAGGTAGACACAATAATCAGCAGGTGAAACTACCTAAAACTGACAGCTCCCCTTCTGTCCATTCTGCAGATGTAACTCATTCCAGTCAGCTGTTGTTTTGGTCATTACCCACACCTCATGACCAAGGGATCAACCAGTAAGTCAAGATCTCATGATCTCAGGCTGGCTCAGCACCCACCTCACTGCAGACACTTCTGCCTGTCGATCTCCATCTTTCCTACATGTATAAGCCCAGAGAACAACCTGAAGTTGGCAATTCACCAACTTTTAACCCATAAATATTGAAAAAAATAGTTTGTAAAAAGTTTCATAATCATTGTTGCTATTTTACAATTCAAAAGAGTTATTTTTAGAACTGGCTAGCAGCTCATCTGTCAAATCAGAAATGAGCCTAATCATCCCACATGGAGGCTGTTTAATAAACCATTTACAACCAGCAATGCATCAGTCCTAATCTTTCCATAATCAGTGGTGCGGATTTCCAAAACAAGGAAATCTTGTTTGACATTTATGTTTGATGTCATGTATGATGTTGTTCCTCTCTACTGCCAGGACCAAAGGCATATAAACACATCGCTGCACTTCTGGAACGATCCTGGGAGTAAATAAGCCATTAGATCACATGTTTTAATATAATCTACATAGATTTGAAATAGCATCGCTGCAATAGTCTTTTATTTTGAAAATTGCTGGAGGTTTTACACTGAAACAGTGCGCAATTTCCTGTCTAGCCCTATGATAACTGCAGAAATTGACGTGTTCCAGAAGCAGCTCGCAGCAAAAATAGAACCAGTGCTGCACTTCTGGGACGCGCCTGAAGATTTTGCGTGTTGCGGCTGTTTTGAATCACCCCAAAGGCTAAAATGGATTATATTTGAAGCATTGGTGTTCTGCTGCCTATCCGCTTTCCCTTTACTGCACACGTAACTGCGATAAGTTTATTACTCCCAGTTTATGTTCCTATGGTTGTAAATAAGTTAATAATAAAAATCAATCTAACTCTTTCCTAAAAACTATGATTTATTTCCAGATTCCTATAGTTCTGGCTTCCTTTTTAGCATTTTCCTTTTTCTCTGTACGACTTTAATAAATTATACACTAGTGAATGTTTAAGTGATAAAGTGTGTCTAAACAGCAAGTGAAGCAAAGCAAATCAGATTTTTTTTCAATGAAAGAAACTAGGCGCAAATGCAACACGTTGTTTTTTAAGACATCTGCTACTGGTTAGGAGTTAATGAACGATTCACAGATGTCATCTTCTGGCCCAGACTATCACTGCTCCAGACAGGGGGATTAACGATAAAGCCTGTCGGAGAGGAACTGCACCGAAGCAGGATTTATTAAGCACACGACCACCACTGAAGTGCACGCTGCAGCAACTACAAGAGGGGGGGAATAAATGGCATTCAAACATTTCCTCAAACATTAACATAAAAACAAACATATTTCCTCTGACGTTTCCCCGTTTCTTTGCAAACATCTTTTCTTATGATCAACTGTGAGAAACAAGAACACCGATGGCATTCTCGATGTTGTTACCATTCATCCACAAATCAGAGGGAGCAGTCCTCCCTGTTCAAACCACTTCTGTAAACTGTGTATACGCCTGGCTCTGAGTGTGTTTTAATGTTTGTGCTGAATGTGGTTAGGAGGCTGAGACTGAAGCTCCCTTTTAATCTGACAGAGAGCATTTTCATTACTCCTGTTGGGTCCTATTATTAAAGGCGGTTTCAAAGGCACAACAAGTGAAACCACAAACAGGAAATGACCCAGTGGGCTTCAAACTGGATAGATCAGTGATACCAACCTAGGGCAGGCTTGTGTATAATTGGACGTATTGCTTGCTGTATGTATCTTACAAGAGGGTGTATAATCACACACTGCATGCAAACAAACGGTAGAGAGACACGTGACACAATCTAAATGGAAGCTCTGACATTGGTGGAGCCAAAAAAAAAAAAGGTGTTATTAGTGTTTTATTGAGCTACTGCCTTACTATACTATCAATAATGAGGCTGGAGTCAATAATCTTCACTTGGTCAGCCATCTGGCCCAACTGGCCCTGGGAGTTGCAAGTTTTTAATGTTTCAATCAAGTTTTCCATTTATTGGACATCCTCGTGTGGACAACTCAGAGATGGCGGCATTAATAAGTGACTTTTACTGCTGAAGTCCAACTTGCAACTTTCAGTGCAGGATTTGACTTCGTTGAGTTGCTAGGAAACAAGTCAATCACTCAAATAAACATGCCCATCAA